GTTGGAGAAAAATGACCGAGACTAGCTTCGGGGCACCTCGTTCCGAGGACGCGAGACCCCATACTGCTATGGAGACCTACCAAATAATTGAAGAGCAAGGCTGAGAGACCAGACCACGCTCATCATACTCTCCTGACATAGATCATTACGATTGGTACTGTTCTGCCCCTTCAAGGGTTTCTAGCTAAGAAAACTATCAGTAAGTTCGCTGACACCGGTCGAGAGGCCGCCGACTTACTCTGCTCGCAGCCTCCCCAGTTCTGGGAGAAGGGGAATGCTTACCTGCCCATTAGGTGGAGCACTGTAGTGGCTAACAATGACAGGTATATTGTTGATTAATTTCCATTGTATGTTGAGTTAGAAAATAAAAAAGACACAACAGTGACAAGACTTATAAAAAAGAAAAAAGTCACAACAGTGACAAGACTTCCTTTCCAACCTGATATAAGCCTTTCTTCCCAACCTGATATAAGCTTCGCTTACTGATCACTGGACCCAAATGAATCTCCCACTGATAAAACCCCATTATCAGTTGCGTGGAGGGTTCTACAGGTGAATTGCGTGGTTCCTTGATACTATTCTGAAACAGCTGCTTCATTTCTTACTGCCACATCTTGCAGATACCCAGATATTTGTGCACCATCTTCGGGAAGTGCGCTTCAGTAGCACCTGTGTTATGGAGACTAGATGCTCTTCACACAAGTTTAAGTAAATCCACCATGGAGGCTGTTTTAGGACTTGTCGCGCAGCACCACGACCTATTCAATACAAGCGACTTTCCGTAGGCCAAGGTATGGTGCTCCTCCGCGATAATCTCAACATCTTCAGGGCAGGCTGAGGGTCTAGCAACAGGACTACGACTGGCGCCCACTTCGATCATCGTGTCAAAATAAACGCCGTACTCCAATAAACGATCCACCCGTGATTTATTGTCCATGCATCAACTGTCATCTCCACGATGGCGATGACTCTCTCCTCTTACGCTCCGCCTCCTACTCTTCGAGGCGTGGGCGTAGTTCCAAACCCCCTAATACTTGTGTCTGTAACCAGATAAACGGACTGTTTTGCCTCGTCTGCAGTCTACGCCACTGAACCGCCATTACATCAAACATTGTTTCGTAATCTGCTCCACACAAGAGAAGATGGACGATCGTTTCGACATCATGAATTAGCAGTTCAAGTACATAATGATTATGCGCAAGAAGAAAAGCCCGCTTAGTGGTTTTCCTTTAATGTCCAAGTGTAATTTCAAAGATGTAACTACTTCACAAAGTGAAAATCCAGCAGTAAGAATATCATTCTCCACTGCTCTTCACTGGCGATCAGCGCACTCGCAACGAAACGACCACGAGCACGTCTCAAACCGCAACAGAAGTCTGCACAAAAGAGGAGAGGAAAAAATTATCCATGAAACAGGGCCTGAAAATCGCTGCGGTTAAAGGCTTCGCGCTTCCTTCACCATTTCTCAAAATGGGGGCAGCAGTGGCAACCAACAGACCTATAGAAACGTTTTGAAGTCAAAAATTCCATTAGCAACGCCGTTTATCTCTTTCATAAAGGAAGCACTTGCATATGGAAGGGACTGAAGAGTCGGGCCCAGTAAATGCTGTTGGGAAGGTAGGGATTCCTCCCGCCAACTTAAAGTCGCGTCTCCTTCGAAATCATCTCTACGGCCGCACATGGGAAACATTGACTTGCCTACTTTGACCCACTGGTGCAGACACGGAGACTGTGCTATTGCAGAGGTGGTCTACAGAATTTCTTGTCAAGAAGTGTGGAGACGTATATATAGGTGAGACAGCTGGACCGCGTTTCTTGCGGGTTAGGGAGCATTTGGATGGAAAGGCTAGGTCGCATACATCGACAGCTAGGTTGCTACATGATCGACTCACAACGGAGAAGATTCTGGGGTCACGTTCAGTATCCTCGCGCGTGCAACTCAAACGTCCGCTCAGGGGAGAACACCTGTCACTTGCGCGGGAGCTAACCCATCTATAAACCACCATACCGCCGTACGCAAGCTCGTGATCTCATAAGATGCGAACCACCCTCGTCATGAATTGGAAGCAATAAATTACTCAAGTACTACAATGCCGAGGTTAATCAAGAGCCGGTCTTGGTTCTGATTAATTTGTTCGGGGATGCCCTGTATTCATGCGAGGCAGATCTTCCTTACTGTCGGTGTGGGTTGATCTACAAGAATCTTCAGGAAAAGTTTGAATTACTGGCTAGTATTAGGTTGGCGGGAAAGTTCTGTCACTTTTTCGAACTCAAAATATTTGCCCATTACCTGAAGAGGGGTGAACGGTAATGTGAGCACTTATACATCAAAGAGTGGTCTTTCTATTAGTACCACTCGCTTGATTCCTGCTTCTTCTTCTTCTGCAATATGGACAAGAATGTTATCCGCTACCATCGCCACCGACCCCTCCAAATGCTTCTGCAGCGCACTTCCAAAAAAGTTCTAGCCGTTCCTCATGCAATAGAGCTGGATGGCTCTCCCCTTGCAGTGGTGTAGCACAGACATTGCTCCTTCTAACTGCGAGTTGCCTCCCGTAATCAATCATTACTGGACGAGAAATTACGAGAAAACCTCGAAAAGTCTGAGTTCAAGCCAAGATTGAGATGATGTCCAACTTTGTATCGCGCCTCCCTGCATTGTGAAGCGATGGCATCCATGAGGTGCTCAAAAACAGGCAAGGACCCCGCAGTAGCATTGCTGTACAATTTTGATCTTACACGCCTCTCTATAAAAAGAAAGCCCAATTTGAAAAAAGTGACAGAACTTTCCCGCCAACCTAATATTATTGGCTCGTATATTATAAGGTAATCCGGAAAGCTTTCAGTTCTCAGCAACGTTTTGAGTGTTTTCGTTTTAAAGGTCATAACTCTTCTTTTTACACCCACATCGGATTCATCGAAATATAGCACGTTCGACATCAGCACACTTTGCCAATGTGACACCAGTCGAAGTCTATTAAAGAAAAACTGGGTGGTCGAGAATCCACGAAATCCACGAAGGCTTTTTTGCCTGGTCCTGATTGATGAAGTATTTTCCAGCAAGGAAGTTCTGAAAATTGAAAAGGTGATAGTCGGTTGGTGAAAGGTCTGGAGAATATTGGCGGGTGAGGGTAGAACTTCACCAGTTCGTCAATTCGATGGGGATAGTGATTTGTGACAACCTCGTGGGGCTGGCGTTGTCATGCAAAAGAATCGGACCCTTTCTGCTGACAAGTGCTGGCTGCAGTTGACGCAGTTTTCGGTACAATTCGTCGATTTCTCCAAGAAAGCCGACTCTGCTGTGATGGTTCGCCGTTGACAAAAAGTTCATTAGTGGATCACATCAGCCGATGACCCACCACACATGTTACCACCTCTTTTTTCGTCGGAGGATTCGGCCTTTGGAAATTGCCTCGTGGTCATCAGCATCCCCACTATACGTTCCTCAACTTCCTGACCTCATACATCGATCCACTTCCACTCCATACCAAAACGGCTCGGTCTCTGGTTGCGCAATAGTAGTGAAGAAGAAAACTAGAGACTGCAAATTTCTGCCGGGCCACTCAAGTGTGGGCACAGCTTGTCGACTTTTTTCACCTTCCAATGCGTTGTCAGACCCTATGGCAAAAGAACCGCACCTGCGCTGCTTTCAAGAAGGGAACAGTTCTTCATGTCTTGCTATTTTATTTTGCATTATTGCGTCGACGCTGGAGGAAAAACGTTACTCGAAAAAAGCAACGTTTTGTCGGTCATTTGAAAGAATGGTGATCGGTTGCTCAATTG